ACGTAAAAAAGCATACCCTACCCATCCGCCAGCCTAGGGTAGGGTATGCTTTTTTACGTTTTGGCTTATAGCTTCTTAACTAGCAGAGATACGCTTACATAATCTATTATTTGATAGAAGCGCCTAGTATTGCGCCTTCTAATAAAAAAAGAATTAGCTTATTCTGCCTAGTATTAGCTAAGTTATTAACACTACCTAGCAAAGTATACCTATTAATAGGTATGCTTGCTAGGTACCCCCCTTTTTTAACATTTTCTAGCCTCTAGCTTATGCAGTTTAATAGTTATAAGAGAACCTTCTACTACAAAAATATAGAGGTGGTTTTTCTCTTTCTTTTCAGCCCTAGTTCGCTAGAATCCATGTATTATTGATAAGGTTTTGGGGGGTACCCACGAAGGACGTTGGAGTATACCCATTCCGCCAGCCTAAGCTGCAACTGCAACAGCACACGACGTAGCAGCTGCAACAGCACACAACAAAGCACCTGCTAACAAGCACACACTGCAGAACAGGCAGACCTAGGCGTAGAATTCTTAGTTTACCTACTATTCTTGAATAATGTTCTTGTATTTTCTAACATTTAGGCTGCTAGAGCCCTAGTAAAGAATCTTAACTTAGTGTCTTAGCAAGGAATATTAAGCTTAAAACCTTATATATTTAATAACTATTCTATAAATAGGCCTATAATGTTGTTTAATAGCTTATTTTAAAAAGGAGACTTAGTAGTATATTAATATTATAAAAGTATAGTTTATTAAGTAGAGCTACTATTATAGCAGGATTAGGAGTTGTTGTAGCTATTACAGCTGTTAGGACTATTAGAGCTATTAGCTTAAAATTAGCTATATATTAAATGCACATTAAATAACTGTTATAGGCCTACAAGTCCTACTATTGCCTACAGTATAATGCTACAATTTCCTAATTTCAACAATGGAAAAACTTTTCCTGATGTTTATACACGCCTATAGTGCTGTAATTACTTCTAACAACATTTAGGGAGGGTTCTAAGGCGCTAGACTAGTCCTATTTAACCTAGAATAGGTTATAAGCAGCCTTAATATAAAGCTGCGCATGCTATTACTACTACTACCTATTAACAACAAGCTCTAGCAGTTGTAAACCCTAAGCAACACTCTTAAACTTAGGTAACGTGAGTGCATAGCGAGTGCGCCGGATAAGCGAGCGCGCCACCCCAACAAGCCATTAGGGCTCTACCACCTCAAACCTCAATGTCTTAACAACCTAATTTTAAACTACTTTAAAAAGAGGAGAGGATTAAGCTTGCCCTTTAAGTAATTAAAGAGCTGCAAAAATTAAGTGTGCAATACGCAGCTGTTATCTACAACATATCCTAAAGGTTAATTAACTATTAACGCGCTAGGACATAGCTAACACGCAATACCTACCCTAAATTAGTAAACCTGCAAAAGACAGAAGAGAGGACACTTGTGCAGTATATTAGGAA